GCGACATAGCGTATGCTTTACTGTGCATGCATGGTCAGAGGTTTCGCCATGCATGCAGGAGTGGACCCGAATAGCTTACCATCTTTGTTAACCGAGCGGACCCATTGTGCAGCACCGAGTTCACTCTGAGATTCTCTCCGAGTCAAAATTCTCATCTTTCACAAATTTCTTCGTCTTGCACTGCCCTGCTCCAATTTTACTCTCGGCACTTTAATTACATGGTTTCCGTTTCTGCATTTAGAATTTATCATAAACAGAGGAATCCAGCCTCGTCTTCAAATTCATAAAGATAATATATTGTAAGATAATGTGTTTTACCAGATTAGTGATTCATGTCGGCGGTTGGTGTATCGTTGGTGGTGGGCGGAGGAGACGAGTGGGGAATATTATGGTTAACCATCAATAATGGCCAAGGACGGTGTTGACTTCCCACACCAAGAAAGTCTCTAGTGAAGCCTCTTTCATCAACTTCCTTAGTTTTGATATTATTCTCCGTTTGCTTGTTGTTGAAGATGGATGAAGTCATTAGACCAAAACCCGTGCTATTGTTTGAGCTTGATGATGATGATCTCTTTGACCCCATTTGAGCCGCCTTCTGTAGCAATGCAGTGGCCGACATTGTCCCTATTACTTGTCCACCGTTTTGGTTATAACTATTAGTGTTGTTTCGTGCTTCCGAAGAGAACAAAGAACCATTAGTAATTCCCTTCTTTGTCTCGTATTCTTCTTGATTCTTGGAGATTCCCCTTTGGAGAATGTTGTTGTTGTTTTCGTTTAGAAGCCATTGATGAGATGATTGTCCTTGTAAATGCCATAGATTTTGAAGCGAATCGGACGCACTACGAGGCGATGGAGATGATGAGGACGCGAAGACGTTGGTTGGTAAGGAATGCTGGTTCGTGAAGGTTGTTTGTCCCAAGAAGGAATTAATGTTATTGCGGTTGATATTGAAACCGGGTTGATCCAATTGGGAAGACGACGTAGTATTAAGTAGTTGATGTTGATGATTTGGATTGACTTCCGCATCCGTGGCATTGTTCAAATATGCGGGTGCGGGTGCGGCTGGTGGAACCGAAACAAATCTAGCACTCTCTTCAGCTAAAGCGTCACAAAAAGCTCTATGTGTGATGAAACTATCTTTTCTGTTCCAATTCATTCATGAAAGAAAGAAACTAAATCAATAACGTTACATATATTTAATCAAGCAGATATTTTAAGTCAATGTTTAAATTGATTACCATAACATTTAAAATCCAACAAAAGATTTCTAGTTTTATTTTACATCAATTGGTTTATACTTGAAAAATGTGTTGTAATAATAGATATGTATACCTGGAAAAAAGAGTGCCGCAGTCACATCTGTACTCTCTAGTACCACAAATCTTGCTATGAGCTTTCCAATCGGACATGACAGCATATTTCTTGGAGCACTTGTCGCATTTCCACTTCTTCTCTCCATGTTTCCTGCTGAAATGCTTCTTGATTCCGGTTAAGTCACCGAGGGCTCGAGCCGGGTCGTGGTGTACGCAGCTCTTCTCCGGACAGATGTAGACTTTTTTCTTCACTGGTTCCTTGTTCGTTCTTTGCTTTAGCTTCCATGGAAGGTTATGGCCTCTCCGGTGAAGCTGAAGGTTCTGGTCTCTCTTAAACCCTTTGTTGCAGATCTCGCAGATGAATCGGTTCGTTGCCATGAGCGAGTTTGGTGATAGACCGATGACTTCTGCATCTGGATCTGAATTTTTTTTTAATTTAATTTACCAAATTTAAACAGGAAATAACCAAAAAATACAGTCAATATGGAAACAAGAGATCCAAAGTTGGAATAAGAATATTGTTCTTGATTGGTAAAAGTAAATATCAAGAAACCCATCAATATATAATGAAAGTCCGAGATTTGGATTGACTGTATATATATATATATACACACCTGGATTTCCAGGGAGATTTCTCTTCCTCTTGGCTGAGTTTGAGGAGGTAGGATTAGGGTTAGGGTTTGGATCAGGGATGATATGTTCTTGGTGAAGGACATAGCTGGGAAATGAGAGGTGATGATGATCATCTGGCATCATCATGTTGATGGTAGTTTAGTT